TTTCAATGAGCGGATCAGATTGTCACCCAGATTATCCACTTCATTCACATACTTGTTCATGCTTGTCAGGTGGATGACAATGGGTAGTTCACTGTTTAGTTGATGCATGATGAATTATTTTGCATAAGATTATCCAAGTCTGATTATAAATTGTGAAAATACATGACCACTTAATTAATTTGCCGTCTTTTAGCCAACTACAAACAACTTGAAACTGTGCATTTCCAATTATTTGCCGAGTACTACTGATCACATGAAGTGTTTCAGTCTGTCGATCAAATGTCGGAGATAAAGGGGTTTGGAAGAACAATGAAATATCACATATGTTCCATCAGTATAATCGATTCCATTCCATTTAATTTGAGTGATCACGAGGCAACAAAGTTGACACAACGCATTCCAATAAACACTCATACAAATATCAATTCAACGTGATTTTGAGTAAAGTATCATAGAAAACTTGGGCCTCACTTTTACATTTCATAAACCAACTTCAAATCGAAATTATCTGTAGTATGAGTCGGTTTGAATGATTGAAGGATTACTGTTAACGCTTTTCAATAGCGTTCAGGAATCTCATATTGACGAAATACCATCAAAGTAAATCATTTGTGAATTTGACATAATCTAACGAAATACTTCTAATTCCAACAAGACACAAGCAAATAGTCGAATCTGAATTATGCCGTAAGAGATTGTATTGAAGGGTAAGTGCAATAGTTTCTCACCATTTCATTGTAATCATCCTTGTAATTTATGAATAGAATGAATTTGGTCAGATTTAATTCATGATCTAGGATACATTTCGTGAAAATGGAGTGACGGATAGTACAATTTTTAATAAATTATGAATTACTTATATGAGCTTATCAGAATGATACTTGACAAACTGTATTTCAAATGTATTCTGAAGTGTTACATTGAATATTTTCATAATTTTTAACCAGTTTCTCATTTACTCATCACACGATCGATATTTATGGACTATTGTTTGAATGACGACGACTATGTAGCGTGGTGTCGTGTTGAGGTTAACTATGAACACCGCTACCAAGAAACACGTGCCAAGTAGATCAGAAGGCGTAAGAAGCTCGTTCCAAATGACTCCATAAAATCCCCGAGAAGCCAAATACCAGAAGGCAATTAATGGACCAAGTCGATGTTTATTTGCTGCCGATCTCGTGGTATCGAAAGGATATCGAGATCGTGCCAGGATACAAGCTTGGTTACAGAACGTAACCGAATTCGCGCGAAGTTACAATCAAAGTGTGAGTATAAGAATGGAAGCACAAAATAGCTGTCATTAGCACAGTCAAACAAAAGCACGTTAAAACAAACACTAGTACAGTTGGTTATAATAATAATTGTTTTTATTAAACCAGTCGTGTTCTCGTGATAAATGTGAGTCACTACAACTATAGTATCTTAAAACTCTCACGTTCTTTAAATGATATTTTGTATACTCAGCGATTAGGGTGAATTTTCGGCTTGAATGAATTTGCCTTGATCGATCAATGAGCTTCACATTATTTACTTAGTTCATTATGACTGGTAGAGCCTTCCTTTTGTGAACTGTTTAACTAAACACGTAGTCGCTCGTTTCCCTACTATGGACTAATATATGGTTTTCTAATCTGTACACTACTGTGAACACAAATGAATACTAACTACTTGAAAATCATTGTTCTGTTTGTTTGTTTGTTATCTTATTTAGTTGAATTGACTATACGTGATAAAAATCAGATGATCCATTAAAGTAAATAGTGAACGGACAGGATTAGATCCGTAATGGGATAATCTTATTATCAGTTCACTTGTGATTGGATTTCTGGAGGATGGTATTGATTTCCATAATAATAATAATAATAATAATCCAATGCTTTTGCACGTTTCGAAGAATATGTGAGAACTGCACTGGAAATTGTACCATCTGAATGCCTTCTGATATATCATCTTGAAGATAATTGTGAACAGTTGTGTAGATTTTTGAATGTGCATATACCACGTGACATAATCTACCACTATATGAATAAACACTTTCAGATGAAATAAGTGATGGAAACCATCATTAAAAAAAGGATCGATTGATCAAAACAGTTGAACAAATGTTTCCAGAACTTATACACAGCGATTGTATTAGAGATGGAAGAAATGACTTTAAACTATATGGTAAAATGCTGTTAAGCTTCCTTAATTCATCGTATTCAAACTTGACCCATTTGATGTGATATCATATATTGAACCCTAGAGTTCAAAATATTCATTGTTGTACCGGTTACATTGTAGTTACATGGAAACATCTACATCATATTGATTACTTGATTCCTACTAATTTAAATATGTTGATTCACTACAAATGGTCTTCACAGATAACACCACTTAGATATTGATTATCTCAAATAAATACTGTTTATTAATAATGTATTGAATGAAGAGAGTTGGTTGGTAAGGTTCGCATTGTGAATAACGCTAGTAGTTGATCAACCCACTATTCTACATGTAATTAGACAAAATGATGTTGGATAGATGATTAGTACTGCATAACTTAAACAGATAGACTTGATGATCAACTTCGAGTGAATACACGATCCTTCATCAATCACATTTCGTACTTGAATATGTTACAGGATGTTCATAAGTTGACGTTAACAAGCCTAACTAGTGTGGTTGTTAAAATATTAGAAAAGATTATTCGGAAGGAGCTTTTTAAGTATCTCGATAAAAACCGGATCCTCTCGGAGAAGCAGCATGGCTTCAGAATAGGTTATTCTTGTCTCACTAACTTATTAGTGTCTCGTGAAAGCTGGTGTGCTCTTAAGGACCAAAAGCTACCTGTAGACGTCGCCTTCATTGATTTCAGTAAAGCTTTTGATAAAGTTCCGCACAACCGGCTGTTATATAAGTTAAGAAATGTCGGGATTGGAGGTAATTTATTGATGTGGATAAAAGACTTCTTAGTTGGGCGTCAACAAAGAGTAAGGGTGAACTTCAAGTTGTCTAGCTGGGAAACTGTGCTTAGTGGAGTGCCCCAGGGTACAGTTTTGGGGCCAGTGCTATTCCTCTTGTATGTAAATGACCTTCCTTGTCTCCTATCATCATCGGTCTTGCTGTTTGCTGACGATGTCAAGATATGGAGAACGATACGATGTAAGAGTGACAGCTTAGAACTTCAAAATGACCTGAAGAAGTTATCTGAATGGTCTCAAACATGGCAGTTGCCAATAAATACTTCCAAGTGTGTTGTAATGCATATCGGTTATCAAGGCACAGATACATACACGATGAATAACACTGAGCTACCTGTCGTCCAGACATATAATGACTTAGGAGTTATCGTTAGTCAAGACTTAAAGACTACTGCACACTGCCGTGCAATAGCCGCCAAACGTTTTAGAACGTTATAGTCAATACGTAGGGCTTTTAGTCATGTCGACGCTAAAACGTTTTTGACTTTGTATACAGTGTTCGTTCGTCCTAAACTTGAGTACTGCATTCAAGCGGCTAGCCCCTGCTTTAAAAAAGACAGTGAGCTTCTGGAGAAGGTTCAGAGAACGGCGACTAAGCTGGTTCCCGGGATAGCGAAGCTTCCGTATGAATCTCGACTGGCCAAGCTGAACCTTTTCCCGTTGTCATATCGCGGAACTAGAGGTGACTTGATTACAGTCTACAAATTGCTTAGTGATAAATTTGCACCTAACATGCCCTCATTTTTCTTGTCTTCCGAAACAGAGAATTTACGAGGACACTCCAAAAAAGTTCATAAGCCGAGAACAAATTACTTGTCAGCTGACTATCGACTTTCCCATCGAATCATCAACGAGTGGAATTCACTACCTCAGCACGTGGTTGAGGCTCCATCCGTCGACTCTTTCAAAAGAAAGTTGGATCAACTGAGAGACCACCATTGCCAGGACTAACATAGGCCATCGAGCCTCCTGTCCTTCCCAAACTGAAACTGAAACTGAAGACGTAATGAGTGTGTGTAGTTCATCTATTGTCAGATAAAGAGATAACCAATAACTGATATATGAATGATTTATGGGACTATTGATTTACAGTAACAATCAATTCAGTTATGAAGATCAGTGTTTAGTAATCTTTAGATTTGACTTGGTGTATATGTAAGTCCGGATTTGCCTTGAATATTTCATTCAGAAAATGTTTTTTACTACTTATTTCATCAGTTTATTGTTCTATGACCTGAGCAAATAATCATTTGAATAATGTTCATTCTTATTGAATACATATTGCCCGCCAGCAACCACGATGTTCATGAATGTACTTTGTAGAGAGAAGGGTCAAAAACTTGTCATAAACAAGCCTGGTTAGATAATGTTATTAAAAGATATGATGATATATTCATATAAACAAAAATAGATAACTTGACGAAATGCCTTGATGTTATGAACAGGTAGCCCATATATAAACCTTACAGTTCTTACTATGCAAACCGTTATCAAGGAATCTTGATTTATGAAATGACATCATTTGATCCATTTGTTCTTTTCAATAGAAGCAAACTGTATCAAACAAGTGGTGATCTATATTTTGTTTATTATGAATACGATTTTATACAAGATTCATCACAAATAAAAAGATTTAATAGGGATACAGTTTTTCCCTGCATCATCTGAGAATCATTCGCATCATGGTTTCAATCCATTATGACGGCACTCCACTCCACATATGGATCATTAACATCGAATAATGCATTCAAAATGAATGATCTGACAATGATGTTGATCTGGTTGAAAGTAGAGGACGACATGTGTCAAATAAAACAGTGGGAATCACAGTCACTGTCTACTAACTACAATAATTTTCAACACAACGATTTCTCGAACATCTTACACAATACAATTAAATCCAGAAGTTTCGCAATAGACACCTTAATCGTTGGTAAAACTGCGCTTTAACCAATGCCTAGTATAAAAGTAACATCTATGCTTAACCATCGATGATAACTATCCGCATAATTCACAAACAAAGGACAATTTACACACCAAAGTATTTCTGTATTTTTTAAATAATACTAGTAATGTAGCATAAAATATGATCCTCTGTAATCAACAATTCTCATATTCTATATGATGAATCTTCTTAAATGACCACTGATCAGTCCAATCACTATCATAGAGATTGATGAAATGGTCATCCAAGACACATTCAGAGAGCCTAAAATGTTCGAGAGAAATAAAACATTTTCCGGTAAATAATGAATTTAAAACGAACATTTGGATTCATCAAAGTACAATTAATTAGATGAATGGCTTTGTATACGGATAGACTAACAGAGGTTATTCATATTGGCCCGAGTAAACTGTTAATTTCCATGGAAATAACTTCTACTGAATTGAATCTACAACTTTTTAACAATTGAGATTATGAGTTAATTAAAGTTAGACCATCGTGGAAGAGCTGGATGCACTGGACGACCGTTTCGTCCCATAGTATGGGACTCCTCAGCAGTGCACGTACACGATCCCAACTCGCGAGATTCCAACCCAGGACTTATCGGTCTCACATGCGAACGCTTAATCAATTGACCACTGAACCGGCCATCATCCAACGGTGTTAATGTCTTATTTCAACTAATCCACGAAATTGTGCCACACACCCACCATTATCTTCAGTGAGTTACTATATCACAACAGACCAAGCTAAACTCCACTCGTCACTGCTTTTTACTAGAACTCCAAGAAATATCTCTTGAAGCCAATCACTAGTGAGCTTATATTGATCAGTGATTTTAACAGTCGAGTTCTTGAGTCAATTGAAGCTAGATCACTATGGAAAACCTGGAAGCACTGATATTAATCTACAACTGTTCGCTATGCAATATTTGAATGATCAACTACCAGTCTACTGATGGGTTTGTATACTCTCAAAGTGTTCGCAAAACTTATTTCTAACCACGGGATAGTGTAATGAATTGAATAGACAGAGTAAAGCATCAACTGCATAATTTCTGAGATAATTACTTACTGGCTGCAGCCGTAGCTGTGAATAGAATTGTATGAAGAACAAGGTGAGTTTATACATAATTCATGCTTTGAAAACTTTTCATGAAGCTTCAGATTTTATCAAATGAGTGTTGATCCATATGTATGAAATGTGTATAATTCTCTGAGCTGTTAATCTCGAAATGGAAGACACACTGTATGTCCTATTTGACAATCGTCTGTTGGTTATACTTTGATGATGATGTTGGTATTCACACAATAGGATTCGAATGCAGTATCTTTCACTTCAAACACCAGTGAGTTGTGTATTCACTGTTCTACTCAGTTCAGTTAGTCACTTACTTGTTTCGAAACTATCATGTTTATGTCATCCTTCACCGAAGGTGTGAATTCTCCGATTTGTATTATTGAGGATTGAATACTGGTGGATCAACTCATACCTCTACCAATAGTGAAATGAGTGGAGATTCATTGATTTATGCATAGGAGATTATTCAATTTAGCATTCTTTTTGCACATACACACACACGAGTACTCAACCAACCGTTTCATCAATCAGGATTGAATAATCTGAAATAACCTATTCACTTAGCAGAGGGAAATTCACAGGATCCTCGTTCGTGTAATAGTTCAAAATACTTGCTTTATGATGTCGGGCTACAGACAACAAAAGTTCAGATCTCTTTGTTAACTCTTCACTTAAAACTCTTCATCAACAACTCTAATATTGATTAACTAAACAGAACATAAACCATTTCCATAAGTATAATTGGTAACGGCTTAAAACTTACTCGTCGGTGGGGCTGTAATTAAAATAAACTTTCGTTTCTTACTCTAACAATCATAAAAACATGTTGGGTGATTATGTAATTTATTCAAAACTGTGGTAAATATAGATATCACGTTAAATGCTTCATGAATGGTACAGAGAGATCATTGACAGGATCTGCATCACTCGACATTATTTCAGAATATGATCCGTTTCAGATATCTACTTATCCGGGTAAACCTTAATGATTAGTAGTCGTAGGAACTTCATTTATGTCAGTAATCTTCTCGGTTTACAGTCTTAGATGTGATATTACCACACAGTGAAAACTCAAATCTTCAGTTCAAAACTAAGTCACCATCATACTCACTCTTCGAGATGACAACCTTTCATAAATCATTTCAATACATATGTGCCATCAGTTCTGTGGAAAAGTATCTTGCCGTGTTGGTTGTTGTCTGTCAGTGATATGTTCTCTCAAATTCAGTGATTCAATGAAATACTTCAGTCGAGACAGTCTCTTACCTAATGATAGTCATTCAACAGCCTTATAAATCGATCCAGCCCAACCGTCATCTGTCATAGACAGTTCTTGTAATGCGTTAACTTGATTATTCATGTTCATCTCAAAATGTTATCCAGCATTGTCATATTGATTTACAGAAAATTGAAGTAGACTGTTAGTTATTGACAAGTTAATTTATCAATGATTCCATCTATTGTGAAATGACAACTTGATTTGTCCAGGGATCTAATCGGATCCAAACGACTGGTAAATCGATCATTTTCAGCTTAACTAACTGTATTGTGAATACAGTAGCATAAATAATCAGTTATAAAACAAATTCATATTAGAACTCACGTGTAGCTGAAACACAATTTCAATTATCATGTTTATTAGTAGTTAATCTAACAATGATCAAGTGTCATGTGAAAGACAACTACAAAATATCATTCATTGAACAACTGTCAGTGGAAAAGTATGTTTCATTATGAAGTGAACTATAGATATGTGTGTGTTAGAATGTTTTCTGTGACAGAAATATGTATGGATTAGGAATTGATGAGTTCCTTCTTTGTCACTGAAGATTATATGGACTAATTACTGATAGATGTTGATCAATCTACACAATCATGATTTTGTTTTACAGAGATACTTGTTTAAGTTAGGAAAGCTGTAAAATGAATTATGGGCGTATCCGAGTACGAGAAGGTATGAAACAAGACTATTTGATTACGCTGTTAGAGATAATTCAACTTCACTAAAACTCGTATTCAAATAACAATGACTAAGCATTGAATAAGTACTAGACACATAGAAGAACATCTTTCATGTGTTTGAAATCATTTAGGAAGTACCGATCATTGTTCAAACTAAAATTTCAAAGGTTTATTTTTATCAGTTATTTACAACCACACTTAAGTGTTCAATGTGACAATGTAGTAAACATATCTTTGTCATGATGAGCAATTGTAATCTGAAAGTGTTGATATCCACCAAATGTCATTTGTTATTTATCGACTGTAGTTCCACTGTACCTCACTTAACTTATTCGAACTTCGCTAACCAATGACACAATCATCTCCTTTAAATATAATTATTGACCAATACGACTCATTGTTCAGACTTCATCTTACTAGATTGCTTAACATATCATACTTGATGTCCACTTCCTCTTGTTATGAAGTTTTGTCACACATCGAACATCCAGCTGGATGTTCTATGTAACTCTTTGCAACGAAAACAACAATAATAACAGCAATAACTGAATAAAGAGATTTGACGTGAAATGATGGATTAAGCAGTGATCGGTAGAGTTCAACCGGGTTTGTTGTGATAACGTAACTGATGGAAGACAATGGTGGACGGCAGCCGGCTCAGTAGTCTAGAGGTTAGGCGTCCACGCCCGAGACTGATATATTCTGTGTTCGAATCCAGCTGGGTGGAGTGGTGGATGCTCACTGATGAATAGTCCCAAAATAGGACGAAACGGCTGTCCAGTGCATCCAGGTTTTTCATGATGGTTGAACTTCAACTCATTCATGAACTCAACACTTAATTTACTATATTATGCACAAAAGCCCTTCTGATACGAATTAATCTTTGTTTTTGTATAAGGATATGGACAAATAAAAATAATCTTAATTACTTTGTGTATAGTATCGATAGAAAATAAATTTCAGTCAAGCTTAGGAAGACTGTAAAATAAATTATAAGTGGACCGACTAACTTTTGTCAACTTACGTTATTTATGGCGCAGGCGAAATGTCCGTCTACCAACTAAAGGACGTGTTTACTGATGCATTAGTTTAATCCGTCCTACTTTATGGCTGTGAAACATGGCCGGTAGGAGTAGAGGATATTTGTAGGTTACTATTATTTGATCACAGATGTCTTAGAAATATTGCTCGTATATCCTAAGACCACCCAGTAAGTAATTCAGTTGTTAAGAAACGGGTATTAGGTAAGGATGGCAAATCAATTCGTGAAGTAGCGTAATTTATCAGTTGAGATGGCTGCAACATGTGTTACGTATGCCCAATCATCAACTGCCCAGATGAGCGATTTTTTGTGGTGTAGGAGAAGGTTAGAAGAAAGCTAGTGGCGATCACATGAAAACATGGAACAAATCCATGAAGTCACTGACAAGTAGACTGAGCCATGTTGGTAAGTGTAGACTACCTGGTTGGGGACCGCGAGATGGTAGCAACCGATGGTTAGAGACCCTGAGTGACATGATTCAAAATCGTTTGCAATAGCGCAAGTGCATCCACTCTTTATGTTCTCCCAAATTCTAATTTTCTGAATTCTTCATGTCCCTTCTTTCTCTTTCCAAATTTGTTTCACTGGATGATATTCCTTGAATAACATCTTCAAACCCTATTCTTTTCGATTACTGCTTATACTTTTAGTACCTCTACCACTATGGGATTTGAATCGACAGTTGTATCACTGTGCTAATGTGGTATGATAACTCGAACCCATAAACGTATGTATGAATTTCTACGTTGCTGCTGACTGACTGACTGACTAAATCTACTTGACGTGTTCGGAAAGGTACGAAACGAGACTCCGATTAAACCGTTCAACACAATTCAACCTCACTAGAGCTCGTGTGGAAACGACAATACCAAGGTGATTTATTCAAAATGTACAAAAGAAATAAATGTCAGTCAAGCTTACTAGTTTCCTCATCGAATAAACCAGAACCTGAATGTTAGAAAACAGAAATATTCACAATTACAATAACTGTCATTATTCTTCTCCTTCAATGTATTTACATAACAATAAAGCATTCATATTATTCATTAGATGATGCATAATTACCTGTTACATCATGTACAATTGTCAGCAATACAATTGTACTGATAAACGTTCCAAGACATTGATGATAATGCATGATTGTTGTGTATATGAATCTCTTATCTTCGAATGGATAGTTCGTTAGTAGTTTTAAATGTTCGTTCATTTACTTTTTATAATGAAAAAGAAGGATATTCGAATTGTTTACATTTGTTATGTAATCTCTATGTAAATAAAATGAAGGAGAAGAAATAAGGAGATTGTATTGTGATGTAATGAGATGAATGTAAAACTGATTAATTAAGTTTACATTTCAACTTACATTTACACTGACACTTTATATACTACTTAAATTAGTATAATCACCCTATTAATGTCTCTATGATGCTTTGAAGAGTTAACAAACCTTAAAGAATACTGAAAAGAAAAGCTAAATGAGTGATGTCAAACAAGAGTGTTCTTTTTTTAACAAAGAATGTTATAGAGATTTAGTGGGCCCAGGATCTGACTACCATTCGACTGTATGCTGATTGTCATCGAAATACCCATATTGCCTAACCTCGTTATATTTCATAGGCTTAAATTGTTTTGGTGTGAATAGTGGAATTAAATAAATTGAATTTGAGAATGGATTTATGAGTACACATATTTTTTACGCAGGTTGATCTGGACAGACAATCACAGGGATGAAGCGAAGACAGCGAAACGAGATTACGCGTAGTGGAGATGGCATGATAACCAACTTTATTTGACCAAGCGTTAATCAATATTTATAGCCAAATAATGATAAGTTACAGATATGTAAACAACACTATCATAAGTATACACACACATACGCTCATACAACAACATTCAGGGTTGATAAGTTGATAATCAACAAGGTTGAAACGTGACTCAAGAAGAATGGATAAATTGGACTGTCCAGAAGCCAGAATAAGGTAAATGGGCTTAACACAGCGTCCGGCACTACAGATTAGATACTATTTAGACTTAATTCAGTTTAGACACCACAACAGCAATAACAAATTTCACATATATATAGGGTATTTTGAAACAGTTGCCAACATGATGTGATGGTTGAGTTCACCAATCGTGATAACTCAAATCAGTTATATTAGCTGGAACAGATATTCTTTTAGGTCCTGCCTTGCCAGGCAGATTAGTTCAAGAACAGTTAGGCTTAAAGCTACCACTGTAGTGTCGGTTATTATGTTAAGCCCATATACCTTATTCTAGCTTTCGGATAGCCTAATCTATTCATTCTACTTGAGTCACATTCTGACCTTGTTATTTATTCACTTATCAGTCTTGACTGTTTTAATATGAGCGCATAGGTGTATGTACATTTCTTATCCCATTACTCATCACATGTCTGTAACTTACTTTTGTGTAACTATAAATATTGATTAACGCTTGGTTGAATGGGAGTTAGCTTACCAGCCATCTCCACTCTCCGCCGCCTCTCTTCTCTCCATTTCATCCGCTTTATATACAAAATGTATGTATTCACAAGTCCATTCTCGTTATTTGACTTATTTACTTCCGTTACTGACTAACGCGATTTAAGTCGATAATGGTATACGAAGATAGGCGACAAAACAACATTCATATGATCCGACACTAAAAGTCGCGCTGCTGACTGTGGAGGGTTGTGACAACATTAAGGTGTTTCCCTTGTACAACCAGTATCTGCCCTCTCATAACAGAAAGAAAATGCTAGAAAAGATCAACCCTAAACCTGTTACAACTCACCCTACCCTACGGATTTCTGTTTCCGGCGTAAAAGCCTCTTGAACTGTAGAGCCAGCACATGAAAAAATTCCCATGAAAAGTTCGTGTAACAGGCCTCGAGTAGCTGTTTTTTGGGCTCTGTCGCCATGCTCCCTGGTCTCTAGGACCACCACTAACCCAGTTTCGTTTTCAGGTCTCGCATGAATTAATATCTTTCCAGGGTATAAGTAGTTGTGAAGTAACAATCACCATCGTACCTCTGACGGCACTCGAGATCATCTTCCTCACGATCAAATCCCACCCTTTCATTTTATTATTTATTTCATCCATACGAATAACCCTGCGTGTATATCTTCATCACCACGTGCTACCAATGCCTATGATTTGAGTTCATGAATTGTTATCCTTGATGCTTGAAACCATGTTCCAAGTTACATGTTGAGGCTTTTAATGTTCATACCTTTTGTCAAATAAGACAACAGGATTCTTTAGCTATGACTCTTGAATTTAGGGTCGTTGATGTACTTTCCATCACCAAAATACTCATACAAGATCCAAGCACAGTCACTCATTTAACCTCACATTATCAATACAATGAAACTGGAACGATTTACTCCTTGAGTGTCTAAAGAAACCGCTTCTACTTCTCTTCATCCTGTTGGTGTAAGCTAAACATTAAGTTCAGAAGAAGAACAGGCTCTGTTAGACTAGATTCTAATTGACAGTCACTTGCACGCTGTCCGACTAAACACGACCATGAAAACTCGAAAAGATAGGGACACATACCGTTGCTTTTTAGTTTCCTTTACCTACTCTCCAATTGATCCTACCTCATGAGGAATTAAAGATGAATTTTGATAGAAAGCTATCCAACCTCCTACAAAAAGCTAAACGCTTCGATATAGTAATCATGGTGAATGATTTTAATGCTCAAATAAATGAACTATACCAAACCGAAAGAATCTTAGGCGAATCTTGTAGTGTTCTAGCTCAGCAGACAGATAATAGTCACCACCTTTTGTATCTATACTCAGAAAACCAACTTTAAACATAAAGAAAAACATTGTCTACAGATCGATGGACTCAACTTGACTACACTGTTATTAGTGACAGTTGAAAGGGCTTAACTAAAGTTTGTTGTTCATTCTGGAATACATGTTTAGCATTAGATCATACTCTAGTTTGATCACATATTTTCTTTTTCTGTGTTTTACTGGACATAGTATATATATATTCCAAGGACTTCTGTGCAGTTCTATAATAGAACTAAATGGTTATTCATTACTTTTAGCTTTTCAGTTTCAGTTTGGAAAGGACAGGAGGCTTGATGGCCTGTGTTAGTCCTGGCAATCGTGGTCTCTTAGTTGATCCAACTTTATTTTAAAAGAATCGACGGATTGAATTCCACTAGTTGATGATTCGATGGGAAAGTCAATAGTCAGCTAACAAGTAATTTGTTCTAGGCTTGTGAACCTTTTTGAAGTGTCCTCGTAAATTCTCTGTTTTGGAAGACAAGAAAAAAGAGGGCATATCACGTGCAAATTTATCACTAAGCAACTTGAAAACTATAATCAAGTCGCCTCTATTTCTACGATATGATAACGGGAAAAGGTCTAGCTTGCCTAGTCGTGCATCATACGAAAGCTTCGCTATTCTGGGAATCAGCTTAGTTGCTGTTCTCTGAACCTTTTCCCAGAAGTTCACTGTCTTTTTTTAAGCAAGGGCTAACCGCTTGTATACAGTACTCAAGTTTAGGACATACGAACACTGTATACAAAGTCAAAAACGTCTTAGCGTCGACATAACTAAAAGTCCTACGTAAGGTTCTAAAACCTTTGGCGGTTATTGCACAACAGTACGCAGTAGTCTTTCCAATGATAATCTAACTTAGATCGACTCATAAATTCAACTAGTATAAATATCAGTAAACAAAAATGTAACTCAATATTTACTTTATTTCTTTAAAGTAAAAAAAAATCGTACGTTATGTTTTCTTTTTATCATGAATATATCTATACCCTCATACATTCGAGTATGTGTACATCCATCTATCCATCCATCCATCCATATACACATACATACATGCATACATACATACATACATACATGCATACATACATACATACATACCTACATACATACATACATACATACATACATACATACATACATACATACATCTAAGATACATCCCTGTATAAACATAAGTGTAAACCCGCCAACCCACACACACACACATTCCTATATGAACATGAATACAAATCCAAACGCACACCCACCAACCCACCCAAACACACACATATCCCTATATAAACATGAATACAAATCCAACCTGTTACCCACTCACCAACCCACACACACACACACACACACAAACATACATACATAAATTTGTTAGTTTGTACTATAATGAATTAAACAATGAAACAATGTAACGGTTTCTGACGGTGCCAGAATATGTTCCATTTTTACCGATCATTCATATCTTAGATTCAACGATTCAAATGTTTATTGACATAAGGATTAAATAACAAAATAAATAAATAAATAAATAAATTGAATAAGTAAACAAACAATCGAAAATATTTAAGAGAAAAAAAAGAAAAAAAAAGAAATTCGTTTCACTTTTTTTTGTATCAACGTAATTGGAAAATGTATTCGATTGGTCAAATTAGAAATACATTGATATCAGTAGTATTATTAAGTAGTATGATTACATATCATGTTTCAGGTATGTTCATTTTCTTTTCTTTTTTTTTTTTAAAAAAAAATATTGTTTTATTATAATCAATGATGAAACATCAACTCTGAAATGTAGGTCACATCCAGCTGATGAGTCTGAAATAGGACGAAACATGCTTTTTGAATTGTACTGCTAGAAACTATCCATCTTTGCTCATAATGTTTATGAAATAAGGCAATATCGAGACAGACCGAACAGGATGTATAGATGCCAACAAGAGACTGACCGATTACAGTTCTAAACAACAATGGGAAGATACAAGTGAAACAATACCAAGTGAATTTAAACGTCACCCCACTGCGTAATTAATTAGCTATTTGGACTCAATAGCTTAGTGAATAACATAATGACATTTGAAGTGAACAATACTATAGTTTAAATCATGGAGTGAATATCAATTATAAGATAGAGGTACATATAACTGATGAGTCCCAAATAGAATGAAATGATCATCTAATGCTTTCAAATGTAATTAATAAATTATACTGTTTTGTTAATTATTTTCATTTAGACCACTAAGCCGGCATCCAATGGTGTTAATGTCTAACTTCAACCATTCCACGAAATTGAGCCATCGTACACTATTGTCTTCAGTGAGTTGATATCTTACAACAGAGCTGACTGAACTACACTGATAACGTCTTCTCACTAGAACTTCAGGAGTATCTCTTGAAGTCAATCACTAGTGAGTAGATGATTATTATCAGAATGGGTTTTGTGGAGAGTTTTTAGAAATTTCACCAGTTGAAATCATGAGTCAAATAAAGCTAAACCATCATGAAAAAAGCTGAAAGCACTGAATGGCCGTTTCGTCCTAGTATAGGGCTCTTCAGAAGTGTGCATCCACGATCCCATCTCTCGACGAGATTTTCATTTAAATGATAATCATTTATTTGTATTTATCAATGTTACATGATTTATTCTTAATATCATATGTTTTATTGAACTTATGTAACACTATTAATTGACTTATATCCTCTTTATATTTTGTACATAGGTGGTTTCTTATTTGACGATGATCATGTAACTAGTATGTGATAGTTCTTTTATAATCTATATATCATATTGGTTAATTATATAATATAATGTATGGAATATAAAGAAATGATATATTTTACTTACTTACTTACTTACGCTTGTTACTCCTCGTGAAGGAGCATAGGCAGCTCACCAGCATTCTCCATCCAACCCTGTACTGAACGATTCTTTCCAGCTCTTTCCAGTGGTTATTCATCCTTTTCATATCTGCTTCTATTTCCCGATGTAATGTGTTCTTTGGCCTTCCTCTTTTCCATTTCCCTTCAGGATTCCAAGTTAGGGGGGACTTTGTTAAGATTTTAGTCATTTTAGTAGTTAAATTCATGAGTCAATCAATTGTAGACTATCATTGAATACCTGGAAACAATAAACCGACCATTTCGTTTTAGTATGATATCTGTCAACAATGTTCATTTATGATCTCACATATGAGATTCGAACGTAGAACTTATCGGATGAGCACTATTGAAGAGTGCAATACTGGGACAAAACAGCTTTCCAGTGTTTTATTCAGATTTTCCATGGTGGTCTAACTTTAATTCATTCATGAATTCAACTATTAAATGATTAATGTTTTACAGAAATTGATTAATATCAGATGGGTTTTGTGGATATTATAATAATTTCAGTGGTTAAGATCATGAGCTAGTTGAAGTTAGACCACCATGGAAAACCTGAAAGTACTGGACGGCCATTTCGTCCTATTGTGGGACTCCTCAGCAGTGCACATCTACGACCTCGCCTTCTGCGAGATTCCAACCCAGGACCTATTGGTTTCGCGAGCGAGCACTTAACCATTAGATCACTGACTCAGCATCCAGCAGTGTCAACCATCATTTATTTAGTATCGATTTCAGTAATAATTGTAAAAACGTATATATATGTATATATAGTCAATTAATTTTGTCAACATATTTAATCCTTTTATTTTTGTTACCATAGAACCAAGTGAGTTTCCTACTTTGAACAGTTATTTAACTTATCATTATACTTAACCACCATACTCTTATAATTGATAAATAAGAACAATTCATTTTGATTTCAACAGTTGAGATCATGAGTCAATTGAAGCTAGACTATCATGGAAAACCTGGAAGTACTGAATGATCATTTCATCCTATTGTAGAACTTCTCCTTGGCAGTGTACATCTATAATTCAAATCCATGATCTATCGATCTTGCGTGCAAACTCTCAACCTTAATTTTGACGAAAAGATTCACATCATATATTGACAATATTCATAAAATAATTCCTCTTGTTAATATGTATCTATTATTCTTTATTCTTCATAATTCAAAGACTGAAATGAAAGAGTGAAAATAATTTAGATTCAAACCAATCAGACTTAAGATAAACAATCTTGAATTTCAGTATGAGATTCATTCATCTATATAGGAAATTATCATGTTGATCTGAAAGCTTTAAATCCTAATTCTGATTTCTTTCATTCATTTATTACCCTCTTTAAACCACATTAAGTTGGTAGATTTTCTCAAGCTTTCAATAACTACTAATTACTATTTAAGTAGTCTCACTTTCTTATACTAAAATGTTCATCATCATTCGAGACAAATGTTACAATTGTATATTACAAGATCAATTGTAATCAATTCCTCTTAATGGTTAAGAAGATTACGATATGATAATATAATTCCATTCGAAATTATAAACCAAGTCTTGATCTTCATTCAAGAAACCGATATTTCAATTCTGTATTCAATGTATCAATTCCCACCTATGAATGTTGGTTGTTATAACGCTCGGTTTTACTTTGTCTACATATATGGCGAAGTTAATTTACCTACCTTAGACGAATATTATCTACACAAGATTCCCTCTTCCACTGTCTATTATTCTACAGGACTTCAATACAACTCAGTTCAAGAACAAGTGATTAGCCTGACTAGAGTGTAAATACATTTCCACACCAAAAACCGATATCAATCTGACACAATCCAATAATGGTAAGGATAGAAGAATACATAACTCAACTAACTCCTGCCAAACTATCTACTAATCTGACTAAGAAAACAATCAATCGTTATCATTCTCGCCTACACATCAAATGTAAATATAGAAAGTTTAGTTAAGTACTATGACAACTAGAATTGAGCTTCATAAAAACTGAACTTAAAATCTATGGTTGAACAAATTTCTGATATTCATATGAGCAATTTCAACAAAGCTGACAACATTCAGTAATACCTTCTGTCTGAATTATAGTTTAATAAATACTTGGTAAATATATAGTTCCTTACTAAGTGATTGATTGTGAAGTTGTATGCCCATAACAAACAGTGTAGTGTCCATTGATATATTTAGCTCAGACAGCTTATTTTAGCTTCTGGACAAGTTGATCTATTCATTATTCTTGAGTCATATTTTGACCTTATTGACTATTCAATTATCAACCCTGACTATTGTTGTGTGAGTGTATATATGTGTGTATACTCCTTATCTTATTCATCACATGTATATAGTTCATTTTTGTGTGACTATAAATATCGATTAACACTTGACTGAATGGAGTTGGCTCATACGCCTTCTCCACATCTCACCATCTCGTTCAATAACTTAAATGATCATTTCTTAAAGAAATTTGTCAAATTTGTTACATTTTACTCTCAGTTACTACTAACTACTGAATAAGTAGTTTGGTTTCTCTTGGCACTTCTGACACTTTCTAGTGGTTTTGATGACCTATTCATTTCCTTATAATATTTCTAAGTCTGAAGTGGCTTAGCCTCAACGTATTTCACAATTGAACAGCGTCATTTATATAGCTATTGAATAGGTGAAAAGCATTCAGTTTCACATATAACACAATATCTCGTGTTATCCATCTTCAAACTTAATACAAAATTTGGCTCCAAAGTAAATTAAAAGCGAGTGCATCATCTAACCCTTAAATGCCTCATGAGTAGTGACATTTCAAGCAGTTTAGAAGATAACTTTTCAACAATTGAGATCATGAGTCAATTGAAGCTAGACCATCATGGAAAACCTGGAAGTATTGAACGGCCGTTTCGTCCTAGTATAGGACTCCTCAGCAGTGCGTATCCACGATCCCGCACCCAGCGAGATTCATACTCAGGGCCTATCAGTCTCGCGCGAGAGCGCTTAACCACTAGACCACTGAGTCAACAGTCATCGAACGGTGTTAATGTCTAACTTCAATTGATCCACGAAGTCGTGCCACCGTCCACCATTGTCTTCAGTGAGCTACTACCTCACAACACACCCGGTTGAACACCACTGGTCACTGCTTCTTATGAGAACTCCTGGAAATACCACTTGGAGACCGTCACTAGTGAGCATATAACGTTTATAATCAGAGAGGAGTTTTGTGGATAGTATTGACTCATGAATTCAACTACTACATTACTATATTATCCACAAAACCTCCTTTTGATTATCATTTTGTATCTTCTTAATCTTTTATTATACCGCCTCATCTTCATTCACCTTTTTGATGATTGTTTTCTCATAGCTCTTAAACGTAAAATGATGCAAAGTAAATCATAGAACATTTGTATTACATGTTAATCATAATGTTTAATGCATGACTTATTGATCTGTCCTAAAAAAGTGTATACGAATCTTGGTGAAATGTACATCAGTCATCAGAGTGTCACCATCCTTGGAAGTCTTCAGATGTAGATGTTCTAGGCTATTGTTATAACGTATACTATTCCGATTGTTGTGACATCATTCTAATGCTTCTTATAGAACAAATTAGAATTGTCAGAAGTTAAATCTATTGAATAAAGAGGTTTATCTCATGAAATAGCTGAACTGGAAGTTATAAGCAATTACTGTGGAATGAGCAGTCTTATTGTTGTCTAGTAGACAGACTACTAAATTGAGGTAACATATTGAATAATTTCATAACAAAATCTGTTATAACTTGTGCCTTGGGTCTAATTAATGTATAACGCAATGATACCGCTAATTAGAGAACATTGAATCATCTACCGGATCAATGACGCATAAAACATGTACGAGCAGCCTAGAGTCTTTATCAATCGTGCTTCCTGTTTAGCCCAGCTAGTTAAGTTCAGAACACCAATCTCAGCCTCTGCAATATGAATCATTGTATTTCAAACATGCTGGGTTTATATACCAACCAGACAGACCACATCGTACCATAAAATAGCAAACAACATTTATACAAGATTTAGCCATATGTGACTGTGAATGAGGGAGATGGTAATCGATAGACTGGGCATAACTCAAGAATGATAAGTCGTATAATAATAGTTCATAGGTCAAAATAATGCCTATAATAAGAGGGACATGAATATGGATAATTTAGTTATTGAACAGTTATATGACAAAAATATACGCATAGTAATGGTCCATAAATGGATCCTATAGGTTACAATTTATTATAACAAAATTGTTTGGATTTTCCGATGGGGGAGAAGATTTGTAGCTCAAATGGACGATTTAGATGTAGTTTTGTTATTTGAGCTGAACAGTTTGGGTCGTATAGCTTTCATTGTTCATTTGAACAACATCATCAGTAGCATAAACTTTACGTAGACATAATGTATTCATAGTTTGTGCCGCTGATGATGTCGTTCAGATGAACAATGAAAGCTCCACAACCAAACTATCCAGCTCATAAAACAAAACTTCATTATAATCATTTGGATTATCCTAATATACTTATTTAAGTAATATAGTAAAACATTTCATTCATATACTAAGTTTAAAATCATATATTATTCTTCTTTCCAGAACACAACAATTTAGCAGGTTAGACATTGATAAAACTATAACTTTATTTCACAAGATCTTATTTTCAGTTACATAATTCAGCTTTCGAATGTAGTTTCAATTATTGACATTGTCGATAATCTGAGATCCAAGATAATAGCTAGTAGTATGAACATAAGTAAAACTGATTGGTATGGATGTTCTCTCAGAATAATTAGGTTAAACACAATTAGATAGATAGATAGATAGATAGATAGATAGATAGATAGATAGATAGATAGATAGATTGATTGATTGATTGATTGATTGATTGATTGATTGATTGATTGATTGATTGATTGATTGATTGATTGATTGATAACAACTCTGAGATATACGTACATCCATTTGACGTATCCTAAATAGGACAAATTATGCGTCCCATATTCCATTGCTAACCATCATCTATTTATGGTTACAATAAGTATGATTTAATACAATATCAAGACAATCGTAACAAGATTCCTATATGTCAATAAGAGAGTGACTTCTCAATGCAGATCCTTAACATGAATGATACGATTTAAACAAAACAATATCAAGTGAATTTCTTATTCATATTTCTAACCTAATTCATAACTGATAATCAAATTATAGATTTGATCTTTCTTTCAGGTTCATTAACTGTATCATGGATCACAATCATTCTATATATAGTAACTGTGATAAAAATTCCTAATCTATTCATAAGATGGAATATATTCTAATACAATAAAACATAATGAACTATTGAATGCTTGATCATGAAATGTTGACTAGATCTATTGAATGAATAGAATGAATTCAATTTGAATTCTACTATAGATGATAATATAGAGTAGATTGTTCATTGTTCTATCGTTTCCACACCAAACATTCTCTGTTCTCATTCTCTTCGATTCGAACTTCTTAACCTTCTGTTGACAGGTACTTCACTTTCGAATGATGATATATTACTTACATAGATATATAGATACTTGCTTACTTACTTACTTACTTGCTTACGCCTGTTACTCCTCGTCGGGGAGCATAGGCCTTCCAATGAACTCATCAACCAACCCTGTCATGGGCAATCCTTTTCAGTTCTTTCCAATTGTTATTCATCTTTTTCTTATCTGCTTCTGTTTCCCAATATAATGTTTTCTTTGATCTTCCTCTTTTCCGCTTTCATTCAGCATTCCAAGTTAGGGCTTGCCTCATGATGCAGTTTGACGATTTGCGTAATGTATGTCCTATCCATTTCCATCGTCTTTCCCTAATTTCTTCAGCTGGAAGCTGGTTTGTTCTCTTTCACAGTAGACTGTTGCTGACGGCATCCGGCCAATGGATGTTGAGTATCTTGCGTAGGCAGCTATTTATAAATACTTGTACTTTCTTGATTATAGTTGTTGTAGTTCTCCAAGTTTCAGCTCCATACAGTAGAACTGCCTTGACGTTCTTGTTGAACATTGTGAATTTGATATTGGTTGAAAGTTGTTTTGAGTTCTATATGTTCTTCAATTGTAGGAATGCGACCCTTGTTTTGCCAATCCTCGCCTTTACGTCTGCATCCGATCCTCCTTGTTCATCGATGATACTTTGTATAGATGATTTGTATAGATTGAATAATAAAGCTTTAAATAACACATCCATCAAGATTCACTTGAATATACAATTACATTTATATGCATATATGACATTATGATTCAACTGATTCCTAGAACTAGCTAAACTCATGTATATGATAAAACAATGTAGGGAAGAAAGCTAAATCGAGAATACAATCAGATAACTAAACCAATCAATTTGTAAACACAACCCTTGATAGTTTGGAAAGGGTCTGACTAAAACAATATGGAGCTCCATTCTGTTATAATTAGTTGATGATGATTATTTTTTGCACCAACATCATTTGACATACTAATCAATAGTTTTTATGATCACTTCATGCTTAACAACAAAACTAACTATCTAGAGCGTGATGGTAGGTGTTCATGGAGATTTTAGTTATTCATTTACTAATTCCAAGAATTATGGTCAGAAGCAGTGATTAGTGTAGTTCAATAATATCAGATACCAGACAGTTATCCATCACAGGTAATAGAAGTTAATGATTCGATATTGTGAAATCAATAAAGTTAGTATGTATACCATTGTATGGTGAAACAGTGATCTAAGAACGTTGCCAGTCAAACCAAAGTTCCTGAATATGATTCTTGATGGGGCCATGTATGATCTGTGTTGAACCCTATATTACGACAAAACAAGTATTTAATGCTTCATGTTTTTCTCATAAAGAGGACTTTGTTCATTATAGTTGATCGATTGCTAATTGATGATGAATATCATATTCGTTTAATCCAATAGTGTTGATCAAATTCTATTAGTAAAGTTGTAATATGACCATTGATCTAAATGACTCAGTTACAACTGCACTATGTTTTTATATTAGGTGGTTGGAAGTTTCTGACAGGAAACCCTGCTTGACCTAGGCTTAGTGTTGGGCTGTTACTTACTTACTTACGCCTGTTATTCCTCGTGGAGGGGCATAAGTCGCCGACTAGTATTCTCCATTCAACTCTACCCTGGACAATCCTTTCCAGTTCATTCCAGTTGTTATTCATCCTTTTCATATCTACTTCTTTTTCCCAATGTAATGTATTATTTGGCCTTCCTCTTTTCCGTTTCTCTTCGGGATTCCAAGTTAGGGCTTGCTTCGTGATGAAGTTTGACGATTTGCGTAATGTATATCCTATCCATTTCCATTTTCTTTTCCTAATTTCTTCTACAGCTGGAAGCTGGGTTGTACTAATCAACAAATCATACTTTCATTCTTAAGGAAACGGTTGCTACTTAGTTGACTTGAATATATCACTTGGTTCTACAGTCTAAGAAGTCATCACTAAAGTATTTAAGTCACTAATACCATTTATAACATCCCAAGAAATTCGAGCTGACATCGTGAATTTACTTGATTTAGAAAAGTAAACAATTGAATTTACAACTTACTAATTGAAAATCTACGCGATACATGTGACACTAAAGCATCATGTATCTGAACTCACTCAGGATTTCCGCAGTTCACTTTTAAAGAGCTTGAAGTTATAATCAAACACTTGTCTTGTGTTCTGTGATTCTCCATCTCAGATATTGCGTTCATCTCTTAAAATCTTTATTTACAAACATCATTTCTTCTTAAAACAGAATTGATCTCATGGATAGTAGATATACACTGTTGTAGAGTCCTATACTATGACAAAGCAAATCCAGTCAGTCAGTAACATCTCGCGGTCCACAACCAGGTAGTCTACGTCAAACAACATGGCTCAGTCCACTAGTCAGTGACCTCATGGACTTGTGCCATGTTTTGGTCTGGCTGCCCCTAACTTTCTTCCAACCTACTCCTATACCATTGAACATCGCACGTCGAGGCAGTCGGTGGTTCGGCAAACGTAACACATGTTCCAGCTATCTCAACTGATGAAGTTTCACTACTTCATCAATTGATTTGCCATCCTTACTTAGTATACGTTTCCTAACAACTGCGTTACTTACTCTATGGTCCCAGGATATACGAGCAATGTTTCGAAGACACCTATGATCGAATATTAGTAACCTATTAATATCCTCTACTCTTACGGGCCATGTTTCATAGCCATAAAGTTGGACGTAACGAACTGCTGCATAGTAAACACGTCCTTTGGTTGATGGATGGATATCTCGTCTGCGCCATAAATGACGCAATTTGGCAAAAGTTAGTCGAGCCTTCTGTATCCGTGCCAAAATTTCGTCACACACCAGACCGCAAGGACTGATGAGACTTCCAAGATAAGTGAAGAGGTCGATACGCTCAACTACTTCCCTCCCTATCATTAGTTTGGGTGTCGATGCAACGCAATCCTGAAGCAACATTTTGCATTTTGAGTTGGAGAATCGCATACCGAACATACTTGCATTGTTGCTTAGAGTGGTCAGAAAACTCTGTATTTTGTCAGCGCCTTCACCAAATAGAACTATGTCATCAGCATATTCTAGGTCAAGAAGTGAAGCTCCCAGTAAAAGTTCAAATTTCAGTAAATATCTAAGCTAAAATCAGTCTATCATTTAAAATACAAACAAAAAAACAATATACTACCATGGAAAATCTAGAAGCAGTGGATGTTTGTTTCATCCTTGTATGAAACTCCCCAAAGATGCACATTCACAATCCCCCACCACAAGATTCGAACCCAAGACTTATCAATCTCTCAATTATTAGATTACTACAATCTTTCTACGAACTAATCTTTTCTTCCTGTACTATGTCAACAACAAATGCAGGAGAAGACGAACAGTGTGGCAGCAGCCTCAGCAGCAGTAGGTCTCAATATACCCAAAGGGAAAAGCAGGATTCCCCGATACAACACAGAATGCACCAATCCAATCACAATTGACGGAGAAGATTTGGAAGATGTAAAAACCTTTACATATTTGGGCAGCATCATTGATGAACTGGGTCGATCTGATGCGAATGTCAAGGGGCGGATCGGCAAAGCAAGAGCAGCATATTTACAACTGAGGAACATCTGGAACTCAAATAAACTGTCTGTCAACCAACACCAAGGTCAGGATTTTCAATACAAATGTCAAGACAGTTCTACTGTGTGGGGCAGAAACCTGAAGAACTACGAAGCCATCTTCCAGAAGATACAGGTGTTTGTTAACAGTTGTCTACGCAAAATACTTCGGATCCGTTGACCGGACACTATTAGCAACAATCTATTGTGGGAGAGAACAAACCAGATTGTAGCGGAGGAAGAAATCAGGAAGAAGCGCTGGAAGTAGTTAAGACACATATTGAGGAAAGCACCCAACTGCGTCACAAGACAAGCCCCCACATGGGATTCTCAAGGCCAAAGGAAAAGAGGAAGACCAAAGAACACATTACGCCGGGAAATGGAAATAGACATGAGAAAAATGAACAAGAATTGGATGGAACTAGAAAAGAAGGCTCAGGACAGAGTGGGTTGGAGAATGCTGGTCGGCGGCCTATGCTTCATCGGGAGTAACAGGCGTAAGTAAGTAAGTACTACGTCCTTATATGCAGTCTTTATTTTATATATTACTACCATTGAATTAACTACTTCCATGAATCCAATTGTTAAGTTTGTCTTACATTGTTCCACTCGCTCCCTTTCCACTCTTTTGTATATTGTTTTGCACTACTTATTTATATTCAGTAAGCAGTTGTATTTCCAACACTTTTTACACTTATGTTGTGACGCAAGTTGTAGTGTAATATTCAGAAATGTCCACATATACTTAGAACGTTTATTATACTTATCATTGTATTTATCATTTTAATTACTGTACCTTAATCACTGCAGCGGTTATCCACAATTTCATGCATCTGTTTAAACGCAACAGTTTCCATATTGTTTTGCTATTGGTTCGCTTTTCGGTTGTTCGTAAACTGTTATCAAATATAGACACAGCTACCACCTGTCTTTTGTACTATCGCATGGTATAATTATTCTTTATGTTACTGTTACAGGAAGCCTTTGTTATTTTCATTCTTGAAGGATGCGTTTAAACTGCCCAGACACCTCACAAGTTGAGGTTTGCAACTGAATTTTGTGTATTATTCAATAAACAACCGCTAATGTAGACAAATGGTTGTTTTGGAAACTTCGGTTTTGTGCGTATCTCAATCGGGTAACTTGGACGCTTAGATAGATCTAACATCAATGTTCATCTTGTTGTGCTTATAAGGTATGGCAACTTAGACCGATGCACAGATATGCCTGGTCCTACGTTGTAGCTGACTGACTGATTGACTAACTGACCACAAAACTCTTGACTAAATATATTACTTAATAAGTTTAAAAGTAGTACATATTGAAGTTAAGATTAAATTCATACAACATAATGAAAAATCATTCAAATAACACAAATGGAAATGAATTTATCAACAAATGCAATCAGTTTAATGAATATGATGCAATTCATTTCACAGATAGGTAAATTTTTGTTTCAAAATTTAACGATCTATTTCATTCTTTCCATTTGTATAGTTTGTTATTGAAGAACAAGAGTTTCTAATTGTACTATTAGATCTATATTGTAATGAATGATCAATTGTATCATTCATTATGATCGATAGATTATTACAATTGGGATAAGAGTTAATCAATTCCAAGTGAACAGTTTGTCCAGTTTTAGCCTGTTTGTTTTTTTAAAGTGAAAGAAGAAAAAAGAAAAAAAA